ACAGATTCAAAACAACAACATATAATATTAACACAGAAATTCAATATAGATAGATATATATTAAGCACATATGTTTTTCATTAAAAGTATTCACACATAATTTCAAGGCATGAATAGTAATAAAACAATACTAAATCATAATATAAAAGCTTAGAAAGGTTAGCTCCCCTACCTCTATTCCAGACTTAATCTCTTGCTCAGAATTTGTTTCCCCGAAAACCCTTCAGAACTTCTACTCTTCTTGCAACTAAAAAATTCTTCCTAACTCTTTCTTCTCTATTTCTCAAGTTCTCACTTGATTCTTCATCTCTTAGTGCAGAATAACCTCCCCTCTCATGGCTATTTATAGTCCAAAAATTTTACTATTTAACAATTTTTTAATATTATTTATTATTTTAATATTATCTTATTATATTAATATTTTAATCATCACTTATCAATATTTTAATTTTTTTTAATTTTTTTTATTTTTTTTTATTTTTTTTTTATTTTTTTTTATTTTTTTTAAACAAAAAGGTAGAAAAGAGCTTGAACTCTTTTTCTTGAAATCACCACAATTTTCTACCATTTAAGCTACCAAAATTTCTATATTTAATTTATTAATTATATTTTCCATTCACAAAGAAATTTATTACTACTAGTACTAAAATTGTTACAATTAAGGTAAATATTTTTCATGGATCTTACAAATTATATATAAAAATTGAAATTTAAGAGAGAAATGACATTTAAATTGTAAATGAAAAAAGTCAGAATCATTAAATTATTTAATAAAACAAAAAAGTTATCTAATTTAACTCCATTAACAAACCTACCCATACTTAAAATATTATACAAAAATACCTCTAAATAAATTAGTTTATTCATCTCTTTTCATCCATACCAAAGTTTGGTGAGGCCAATAAATGAAAACTTCAAACTTATTTATGTATAGTTATTTATCTATTGAGTGAATTCAACTAACAATCACATTTGGTTACTTATAAAAATTGAGTTCTCTTAAAAGATGTACAAAAATTGAGTTGTGGTAACAAATGACTTTTTAAAATATTGTTCTAATACATACTTTATAACATGCCAAATGTTTAGTATATTCATGATATTGATTAAGAATTAAAGGAATAATTAATTCTAATTAAATATTTCCTTTTTTTATAATTTTACTGTATTTTTAATATCTTTTTAATTTTTTTTAATAAATATATCCAAGGTGATTAGCATCTTAATATTTATAAAAAAAATAGAGCAGTTAAAACAGGTAATCCGGCTCGGACGAGTTGGTCACTTAGTGAGTCAACCCAACCCGGCTCACTTTTCAGATGGGTTGGTGGGTTAAACGGGTTCACTCACTAACTCACTTAATTATAAGTTTTTTTTTAAATAAAAAAATTATATATTTTTTTAATTCAAATCTAAATAAATTTCACTCTAACTCCAAGACAATTAAAAAAAGTATATCATACAATCGAAGCATAATCCAAAAAGAAACACAAAAGACGATAAAATAAGTTTTTAATATTAATAGTTTTTGTATCACTTGTCCATCTATAATATTAGAGTCTTGAATAGATAAATCTATAATATTTTTCTTTCTTGAAACATTTTTTTTTATCTAATCTACAATATAATAAAAAAATGTTAACTAATCATATTGAAACACAAAATAATTAATAATTAAATAAAATTAGGTGGGTTAGTGAGCCAATCCGGCTCACCATGGGTTCAACTCGGATGAGCCGGATTGTAAGTGAGCTGGGTTGAAAACTAATCCGCATAAAAAAATTACATTTTTTCAAACCCAACACAGTTCAAACACTTGCTGGGCTAGGTTGAAGCGCGAGTTAGAACCCATTTTGATAGAAAAAAAAAATATAAAATCAAGAAACAATTATATCAAATAATGCAAAAATAGAAAATAATTGAAAGTATATTGACATATGTTAGAAAATATATTATTATCTTTATATTATCATAAATCAAGTCAGAAATTGTGAACAAAATTTAAGTATAAAATAAACTTTATTAATTCGATGACTTAATTAGTAATTTAGTTTTAGTATTTAAATTTTTTATTTGTTGTAGCTTTTATATTTTTTTACTCAATTAGGTATTTTTAAAAGGATTTAAAATAACTAAATGTGATTATTTTCATTAAACTAACGTTAATATTTTAAAGATTTTTTACGTGTCATATTTTAGATAATATTCTATTTTGAACGTATTACAAATTAAAATTTGAATCATAGTATCACATAAAAAATAGAAGAGTTCTAAAATAATCCAAACCTTAACATGTAAAGATTAGATTTTAATCCTCGCACTTTTCAAATAATATTAACGTTAATTTAAAAAAAATCATATCGAATTTAATTTTACAAAAATAAGCTTTAACAAATAAAAAACAAATATAAATATTATGAAAAATCAAAGATTTAAACAAAAATAGATTAAATTGCTACTAAACCTTTTGCTTAATCGTTAAATTATAAATTAATCATAAATATATATCAATATAATTTAGAGTTGTCAAAACGAGTAACCTGCCTTGACTCGGACCCGGTCACCACGTGTTAGTCACTTAGGGAGTCAACCCTACTCAGCTCACTTATTAATAATTTGAAAAAATTTGAACTCGGTTCGACCCACCACGGATTGGATCAATGACTCATTTAATTATAAATTTTTTAAAATAAAAATATTACAATTTTTTAATTCAAATCTAAATAACCGTCATATTAAAAGACAACTCAAAATAAAAAAGAAATATCATACAATCCAAGCATAATCCAAAAACATGTATAAAAAGCGAACAAATAAGTTTTTAATATTGATATTTTTTATATCACTTGTCCATTTATAATATTAGAGTCTTGAATAGATAAATCTATAATATTTTTCTCTTTTGAATAGAGTTGTCAAAACGGGTAACCCGGCTCGACCCAACCCGACCTACCACGGGTTGGCCACTTAGTGAGCCAACCCAACCCAGTTCATTTATTAGCGAGCCGAAAAAATTTGAACTCGACCCGACCCATCACGGGTTGATGGGTTAAACAGGTTGGCTCATTGGTTCACTCAACTTTTTTTCACCCTCTTTTCTGAGATTCTTATAACATGTTACTTTGATCGATCAAATTGAAACAGTAATAATTGGACCAATTGATATAAAAAAAATGAAACAAAAGAATTCTATTGTTATATATTCTAAGCTATCAAGCATAAAATTTTGCCAATTTAGTTTAATGAGACATACACAACCATTTGACCAAGAAACTACATATAGCCGTTAACAAAAATATATAGAAGAATGGAAGACAATAGCACAATGCAGCACGAAAAAGCTCTACTGTGAAGTAAAAGTTGTGTTTTGAATAATTAATTTGATTTCAATAAAAAAGAAATAGGATTTGAATAATTAATTTGATTTCAATAAAAAAATAGGTGGGTTTGTGAGCCAACCCGGCTCACCACGGGTTCAACCCGGGTGAGTCGGATTCTTAGCGAGCTGGGTCAAAATTGGTTCGCATCAAAATTTTCACATTTTTTTCCAACCTAACCCGGCTCAAACCCGTAGTGAGCCGGGTTGGCTCACGGGTTTCAACCCATTTTGACGGCACTACTCTTGGGACATCTTCTTCTTTATCACCCACCATCTACAATATAATAAAAAAAATACTAACTAATAATATTAAAATACAAAATAATAAAGAATTAAATTAAATTAGGTGGGTTGGTGAGTCAACACGACTCATCACGGATTCAATCCGATGAGCCAGGTTAAAAGCTAGTCGACATAAAAATAACATTTTTTTTAAACTCAATATGTCTCAAATTCGTGGTGAGTTGGTCCGTGGTTACAATCCATTTCTAAAAATACTAATATAATTATTGATGTTAAATTTTCTTAAAATTGAACAAGAATAAATAAATGAATTAATTAATTTATATATATTATTTGAACATTAAATTTGCAGTTCCCCATGTGATGAGAGTAAACACGTCAGGTGTTAAATGCAAAAACTGTTCCTTCGTGTAAGTGATGCCAATAAATAGCAACCCATCCACCATCCTTCAACCATCCTTCAATCCACCATTTGGTCTCAACAAAACCTTATTCTTCTCAAACATCATAGTTTCTGTTCCCAACAACTATGGCTTCAACACCTGGAATCCTCTCAGACTGGCCATGGAAACCTCTCGGAACATTCAAGGTTAATTCATTGTCTTTTCCCTTATTTGCAGCAAAGTTAATATATAGTGTTTTTTTATCACCATAAAATAGTAATATACATAGAACAATAGGGTGCTCCAATCCTCAGAAAAAGATAAAATTTGGAACTGATAATTACAAGATAAGTAAGGATTCATATATGATTTTTTTTTCATTTAATAATCCTAATTTAGTCAAATCGGTTTCTGAATTATCATATATAATATTTTATATTAAATTGATGTTGATACTATTTAAAAAATAATAACTTGAAAATATAAATGAACATATAAATAAGAATTACGAAAAAAAATATAGTACTGATTTATATTTAACAGAAAGAGTCTCATTAACTCTTTTAAATTAAATAAAAGCTACGAAAAAAAATTGAGAGAATATATTAAATACTATTTGACAAAATTTGAAACATAAAAAACTATTAAACTTAACTTTTTATCAAGAATAAAAATTAAATAAATAAATAATCACTTAGATTACTTCAATCATTTTACATTAAAATTATATATATATACTATTATATAGCAAGAATTATTTTTTTGTGTTCAAATTTTTCTCTAATTTTATAGTTCAAGTAATATAATTTTTATTTAACAGTTTTCTTTTAAAATTTAATCACATGGTATGTTTATATATATTATAATATAAATCACATTTTTTATTTCAGAGTTCATATTATTTTTATGTTTTTAACAAAATAATTATCAAATAACAAAACAAAAAGTACTGATATGTAATAAAAATAATATTATTATACATATTCTAGACTAAAGATTTTACATTGTTGCGAATCACCCAAACCCATATTTATTTTAATCCAAAAAGTTTTTTCCCTATCAGTCTTTTGTATTTCTAAAATTAATATAATTATTTTTTATATTTTGTATGCCACACACGATACGTAGCAACCCACTAATACATTTTATAAGTAACAATCGTCATTTTATAAGTAACATACATTTTATCATCTTTCATTATTATTCTTTCAACTTAGCTTCATCAAAGGGTTTATTGGAATTGTCCTTTATTTGGTTGGTGTTGGTCTATTATTTGACAATTTGCCAAAAGGGGAAAGTATGTGGTGTCAAGTCAACATCTAGATTTAAACATGGGATAGAATGACATCAAAACTATTTATGATAATACTATACGTATAATTTCTCTTACTCACTTTTTCATGGATTTGTAGATTTTAATGAATTTTATCTTTTTTTTTACTAATATTACCTCCATTCCAAAACAATCGTCATTTTCGTTTTCTTTATTGTTTTTTTCCCTCAAAATAATATTCTTTGTATCATACATATCTAAAGTATTTCTCGTGCCACTTTCAAAATTAGAATTAAGCCAAAAAAATGCATACCATCTTTAGAAAATTTAAATATAATTAATTTATTTTTTAATGTTAACATTTTAGTTTCACTTCTTATTCTTGATATAGAATCTTGAATCCCATTGAATATTTCACAAAAATGAGATCTTATATAAATTTTAAAATCGTAGGGTCTGTATTTAAACCTGAAATAATGAGATCTCGAGTCAGGTACCATTTGAACCCAACAACTTATTAAACAAGGTATCAATAAATAATATAATTTATCAAAACGTAAAAAATAAATTATCCAAAATTGACTATTGAGCCAAGGTAATAAATAAAAATTTAAAAAAAAAAATCACATATATATTATAATTTAACATTTAGCTTTGTGATTGTGCAGTACATGCTATTGGGTCCTTTTGTGATTAGAAGTTGGTATGGTATGTTGGTGAAGGATGAGAGCGAAAGGGACGTAACAGCCTTTCTAATACTACCATTTTTGCTGTGGCGTATGCTTCACAATCAAATATGGATTACTCTCTCTCGACATCGAACTGCCAAAGGCAATGCAAGAATTTTTCACAAAGGAATTGAATTTGATCAAGTTGACAGAGAGGCCAATTGGTTAGTTTCTTCCATCTAATACAATATTATATTATAAGCTTTTTTTAGGTCTTTCGCCTCATTTACATCATCACACTAAAATAAATTATGAGTAGAAAAGTTTATGTTAAATGAAAACAACCTCACACATCCCACCTATATTTACATATTTCTCTTCTTGTGATATAGATATATGTTAAAATATTTAAGTTTAATTAAATCTCTCTAATTAGAAGATGAACATTAAATTTAGTTTTACAATATATAAGCTTGTAAGATAAGCTTGTAAGATGATATTTGCATTTATTTATATATTCTAAAATCAACTTAGGTAGTTGATATGAGATTCTCGATACTAATCATGTCATGAAATATATATTTCGAACAAAACAGTTCGATAGTGAGTGATATATAGACTTAACAAACAACAAATATCAAGACTATGTTAAGAAATGAATTTTAAAACTATGTTTTTATGAAGCGATTTTACTGTTGAAGCGAATTTACGAAGATAAATTTTTCATTTTAATCATGTTCGGATTGAGGGAATTGAGAGTAATCGAAGCCGATGATTTACACGATATATGAACTTTTGAATCTATAATGATATACTTAGATTTGCGGCGATTTAAGTGTAAATGTCACTTTTGCCCTCAACAATTTTCATAATTTCAATTTATGTAATAGGTTACACTGTATTCGATTTCATAAAGTACCCCATTCCATGACTCTAGCTATTGCTAAGTTCACCCCATCCCATCTCCTCTAAGTTAGTGTAAGCGGACATTATTTGAAACTATAATCCATCTTCTCTATTTTTCTTCAATTATGAAATTAGTGCAAGTGAATATAGTTTAAGTTTCACTCAATCCTAAAAATCATAAAATTTACGTTCATTTATATATTATAAATTTATCCTTTTTAAGTAGACGTGAGATCTTTAATATTAAACTAATTTCATTGAAATAGGTTTTTCACTTATGTATATAACGTAAATTGATCTTAATCAATAGTCGACATGTGATTGTAAGATTATTTGATTTTATTGTTGAGATGATGTTTTACATTTTTGTTTTTTCATGTTGTAGGGATGACCAAATTCTGTTCAATGGGCTACTGTACTACTTGGCAAACTGGACATTCTCTGGTGCATCACGTCTTCCATTATGGAGAACAGATGGAATGATTATGGCAATGCTGATTCATTCAGGACCAGTGGAGTTTCTGTATTATTGGTTGCATAGAGCACTTCATCACCATTTTCTCTATTCTAGATACCATTCTCACCACCATTCTTCCATTGTCACAGAACCTATAACTTGTGAGTCACAATTTCTTCTTTTGCATGCTTTGCTCATCAACGTCTCTCTCACTTCTCACTCACATTAATTTCACTCAACATATTTTAATTATACATCTAAGTTTCACATCGACTAGAGATAAGATTAATTTATAGTATATAAACGACTGAAAATCTCACCTTATATATCAATTTTGTGAAATTGTCTTAAGTGTAAAATCCATAACTATCAGACCATCCATTAATATTAGTCTCACGTTTTCTTAATCCAAATATATTAATATTTATCTTAATATATCACTCAATTTTGACATATCAATTATTTCAATATTCAAAAACTAATTTATTACTTATTATCATATGAAATATTTTAACCTTTTTTTTCTTTTATCGAAAATATATAATAAAATTAAAGAATGAAATATTAAGAATGTCGTGTACACATAAAATAAAATGTCAAAAAATAAATATACAGAGAAATTTGATAATCTAGATTTCCATTTCCTAAGATTTGAATGTCACATGTGAAAAAAAAATTATTTTTATTTTCCTATATCTCCTATACACCCTAAAATGGAGTCTATATTGATCTTCATTCCTGTTATATATTTTGCTTTTATTAGTTAAAATTTTGACCAAGGCATCACCTTACAAAATTTGTAAGTATTATCAATTAGGGTTAAATTAAACTTTATTGGTATATAACTTTTATTCCATAGAAATTAAATAATTTACATTATGTATTCATCTTTATGTAACTTTTTTCTTTTTGCAGCTGTGATTCATCCATTTGCTGAACACGTATCATATTTCGTTCTGTTTGCAATTCCAATGTTAACCTCAGTCTTCACTAACACAGCGTCTATGATCACCATATTTGGATACGTGACTTACATTGATTTTATGAATAATATGGGTCATTGCAACTTTGAGATTGTTCCAAAGTGGCTCTTTAGTATCTTCCCTCCTCTCAAGTACTTCATGTACACCCCATCGTAAGTATTTATTACTTTTAATCCAAACCATTTTTATCATTGCTATATCTATATATCATTCATTATATTTCTTCTCAGATAATGAAATCAGATTATTTTTGTTTATCAACAAAAAAAAAAATTGAATATAGTGAGTACTTGAATTGTTCTAAACCCACTTACACATAAAAATTATATAAAATTTTCCAAAAGGAAGAAAAATAAAGACACAAGCTCATCACTCTAGTACTACTATTTAAAAATATATGATATTTATAAAATAAGGTTTACATCGTATATACATATTTTAAAATAATGTTATTTTTAATCTATATGAAATTTTTAACACATTTTATATTAGATTATACTTCATCTTTGTGTCATATCTTATAATTTACTGTTGCAAAAATATCAAAGTGATAATTTCCTTAAAAAATACAAAGTTGTCTATGTTGAAACAGTGACAATTTTAAAGCTATTGGGGATGTTTAGACGACGGTAAGTTAAAATTGTCGTCACGACAGACAACCTAATAAATTATAGTTTTTTAACCGTTAATGAAATCTTCATGTAACTATTGTCTGCAACCTCTGTTACAATAGTGATTTCACCATTAACTTCATAATTTATTTATATTACTTGTACTAATCTATCACAATTGTGAAAGAAAAAATAGAAACAAGATGTAATGAATAAGAAAATTTAAATACAATTGAAATTCCGTACTTAAAATTTCTAGGTAACTGAATGTACTTATTTTGTATATATCTCACAGGTTTCACTCCTTGCACCATACTCAATTTAGGACAAATTACTCTCTCTTTATGCCATTTTATGACTACATCTATGGCACCATAGACAAAAATTCTGATCAATTACATGATTCAGCATTGAAACGAGAAGAAGAAACCCCAGATGTTGTGCACTTAACACACCTCACAACACCTAAATCTATCTATCATCTAAGACTTGGATTTTCTTCCTTAGCCTCCAAACCCTACCAACCCAAATGGTACCTTTTCTTCATGTGGCCTCTCACAGCTTTCTCGATGATCCTAACATGGATATGTGGTCGTACATTCATTGTGGAGGAAAATCGTTTGGACAAACTCAAGTTGCAAACTTGGGCAATACCCAAGTACAATTTTCAGGTAAATACGTTACAATTTTTCTGGCAAAATTTACTACTTTTGAAGTATGAGTCGCTCTTAAAAGAAATAATGATATCACTATCAATGTAAAATCTTAGATTCAATATTTGTAGTTATTTTTTTTATTTATAGCAGTCATTTTTTTTTTCATTTTAATAAATGTGAAACTTTTAATTCTTACTTGGATTCCTAATAATATGTTGGGATTTATATGCGTTACGAGATATATGTTGGGAATTGAAGTGTGAGTCCAAGTCCCACATTGGATAAAAATAAGAAAGTAGAGCATTATATAAAACCGATCTTACCTGAGATCGAAAATTCCAAGTTTGTCTATGAAGAACCGAACTAATTATATTAGTGTCTATGATGGATTTTTTTTGTATAATACACTAACCGATAGGGCCTCATTGTTAAGTGCTACAAGATCTCGTACATTTGAACCCATCGTTGTGGACCCGAATCCATTAGTATGGGACATTTTCTTTTCCAAATGAAATCCCCTAGTATATGAAAGAGTGAAAAAGTGTTTTCGTTGTTGTGGAATAAGAAGCCTTCGTATCTTAATGCATATATTGAATTTATTCGGAGCTATTAGAGTTGGATCTACTTTTTGTCCATTATCTTAAGATTTTGCATAGAAAGTGGTGTCAATCACTTATATGGTTGAATTTATATTACTGGTGTTTTGTATCTCCTTATACCCGAGAGATTTACTACGAAATCCACGAGAACGAGAAAAAATTTACTATTATGAAGCATGAGTTGTTTATATGAACATTGATATTGTTTTCAACAAAATACTTTAAGATTAAATGCTGTGGGTTTTTACTTTACTTTTTTATAGTACTAACTTTATTATTTTTATTCAAAATTTTCAACTCTTGGTTAGATCTCTATAATGTAAATATTCAATACAGTTATATTATATAGTAATGTGTAAAATAACATTATAGACTATGCGATTTCTTTGTAGTACTCTTTGCAATCGCAAAAGTTGAGTATCAACAGAATGATAGAGAAGGCAATATTAGATGCAGACAAAAAGGGTGTAAAAGTGTTGAGCCTAGGTCTGATGAATCAAGGGGAGGAGCTTAACATCTATGGAGGGTTATATGTTAGCAAACATCCTAAGCTAAAAGTTAAGGTTGTTGATGGAAGCAGTCTTGCAGTTGCTGTTGTTCTTAACAGTATTCCTAAAGGAACAACACAAGTATTGCTTAGGGGCAAACTCACCAAGGTTGCTTGTGCTCTTGCTTTCAAATTGTGCCACCAAGGAATCAAGGTTCACCATTTTAATTAACTGCATAGATTTAATTATATATATATATATATATATATATATATATATATATGTTAATTTATTTAACTTTAGACTCTCTTAATTTTGATCTCACATGCATGATTACTATATTTCAGGTTGCTACAATGCATAAGGATGATTATGTGAGGCTAAAGAATTTGTTGGATAGGTCTGCAACTAATTTGACTAATTTGATCATTGAGAAAAGCTGCACCCAAAAGGTAATTAATGTGTAATAAATTTTTCCTAGTTTCATTTTCATAATATATTTTAGTAGAAACGATTTTGTAAGGTTGAGGCATTATAGGAATAGAATCAATTCTACTCATTCTTCATTTGTTATTGTTGGAGAGCATTATATAAAGTCTCACACATAATAGATAAATTTAACAATATATTATTAAAAAAAAACACGTAAATATAATGTTTTAACACCGAGTCAAAATAGGTAGCAAGTTTATTTGTGTTATTTATCCATGGTATATTGATGGAAAATTCTAATATTTTACTCATTTATATTTAAAAAATATTCATGTACATCAAAAATAGTAATTGACGCTTAAAATAACCAAGAAAATAAATAAATAAGTTTATAAAATATATGATGGGAAAGAGGAGAGATAAGAAAAAAAAATCTTTAATAAGTATATAAGAATGAAGGTATATTTTTATCATTTCTTAATAATATTTTTAATTATCGATCAAATTAGTAACGATGAATAAACTTAAAAGCCTACCAACAATGAAAGTACTAAAATATGTTAATTAAATGAAAATGAATAAGCTGTAAAGATGATTGAATGGTGATAAACAAAATTTTCTTTAGTCTCTCATCTTTCTTTTATTTATATAGATTTGGTTAGTTGGAGATGAATTGACTCAAAAGGAACAATTGCATGCACCCAAAGGAACATTGTTTATTCCATACTCACAATTCCCACCAAAGAGATATCGCAAGGATTGCTCCTACCATTGCACCCCAGCAATGCTAATTCCCAGTTGCGTTGAAAATGTCCATTCTTGTGAGGTTTGTTCACATAATGTTTTCATTCTTCAAATGATTCGATGGTGTTATTCAATTTGTACATGGTTCAATGTTTTGTTTTGGTTAGAATCTCAAATGATAAAATTGCAAACATCTTGCATATATTGCAGGATTGGTTACCAAGGAGGGTAATGAGTGCATGGCGCATTGCTGGAATAGTACATAATTTAGAAAGATGGAGTGAACATGAGTGCAACTACACAATGAATGACATAGATAAAGTTTGGCATTCAACACTTCAACATGGATTTCAATCTCTTAATGCACTGAATTCTGACAAGGAGCAGGATGAATGATTCCCTAAAAAAATATTCTCCTTATATCTCTTTTTAAAGCTCTTTTCAAAGTTATTTTATGAATAAAAAAAAGTTGTTGTATCTCTTTTTAAAGTTTTTTTCAATGTTATTTTACAGATTAAAAAAAAACACACTACTTGTCTTAGCTTTTTCAAATGTATTGGTTATGGAGATCATTTGTGTAACACTTTTGTTATTTCAATTATACAAGCAAATTAGTGTATGTATATCTACATGTATCTATAAAAATTTAAAATTTCTGTACATTCTACTTTCCTTCTTAGATGCAATTAAATATTTCTTTAAAGCAATCGAAGTGAAAAGAACATTTTCACTCTACATCATTGTTATAGTAAGAATGTTGTTCGAATTTGAAGTGAGTTTAANCAATCGTCATTTTCGTTTTCTTTATTGTTTTTTTCCCTCAAAATAATATTCTTTGTATCATACATATCTAAAGTATTTCTCGTGCCACTTTCAAAATTAGAATTAAGCCAAAAAAATGCATACCATCTTTAGAAAATTTAAATATAATTAATTTATTTTTTAATGTTAACATTTTAGTTTCACTTCTTATTCTTGATATAGAATCTTGAATCCCATTGAATATTTCACAAAAATGAGATCTTATATAAATTTTAAAATCGTAGGGTCTGTATTTAAACCTGAAATAATGAGATCTCGAGTCAGGTACCATTTGAACCCAACAACTTATTAAACAAGGTATCAATAAATAATATAATTTATCAAAACGTAAAAAATAAATTATCCAAAATTGACTATTGAGCCAAGGTAATAAATAAAAATTTAAAAAAAAAAATCACATATATATTATAATTTAACATTTAGCTTTGTGATTGTGCAGTACATGCTATTGGGTCCTTTTGTGATTAGAAGTTGGTATGGTATGTTGGTGAAGGATGAGAGCGAAAGGGACGTAACAGCCTTTCTAATACTACCATTTTTGCTGTGGCGTATGCTTCACAATCAAATATGGATTACTCTCTCTCGACATCGAACTGCCAAAGGCAATGCAAGAATTTTTCACAAAGGAATTGAATTTGATCAAGTTGACAGAGAGGCCAATTGGTTAGTTTCTTCCATCTAATACAATATTATATTATAAGCTTTTTTTAGGTCTTTCGCCTCATTTACATCATCACACTAAAATAAATTATGAGTAGAAAAGTTTATGTTAAATGAAAACAACCTCACACATCCCACCTATATTTACATATTTCTCTTCTTGTGATATAGATATATGTTAAAATATTTAAGTTTAATTAAATCTCTCTAATTAGAAGATGAACATTAAATTTAGTTTTACAATATATAAGCTTGTAAGATAAGCTTGTAAGATGATATTTGCATTTATTTATATATTCTAAAATCAACTTAGGTAGTTGATATGAGATTCTCGATACTAATCATGTCATGAAATATATATTTCGAACAAAACAGTTCGATAGTGAGTGATATATAGACTTAACAAACAACAAATATCAAGACTATGTTAAGAAATGAATTTTAAAACTATGTTTTTATGAAGCGATTTTACTGTTGAAGCGAATTTACGAAGATAAATTTTTCATTTTAATCATGTTCGGATTGAGGGAATTGAGAGTAATCGAAGCCGATGATTTACACGATATATGAACTTTTGAATCTATAATGATATACTTAGATTTGCGGCGATTTAAGTGTAAATGTCACTTTTGCCCTCAACAATTTTCATAATTTCAATTTATGTAATAGGTTACACTGTATTCGATTTCATAAAGTACCCCATTCCATGACTCTAGCTATTGCTAAGTTCACCCCATCCCATCTCCTCTAAGTTAGTGTAAGCGGACATTATTTGAAACTATAATCCATCTTCTCTATTTTTCTTCAATTATGAAATTAGTGCAAGTGAATATAGTTTAAGTTTCACTCAATCCTAAAAATCATAAAATTTACGTTCATTTATATATTATAAATTTATCCTTTTTAAGTAGACGTGAGATCTTTAATATTAAACTAATTTCATTGAAATAGGTTTTTCACTTATGTATATAACGTAAATTGATCTTAATCAATAGTCGACATGTGATTATAAGATTATTTGATTTTATTGTTGAGATGATGTTTTACATTTTTGTTTTTTCATGTTGTAGGGATGACCAAATTCTGTTCAATGGGCTACTGTACTACTTGGCAAACTGGACATTCTCTGGTGCATCACGTCTTCCATTATGGAGAACAGATGGAATGATTATGGCAATGCTGATTCATACAGGACCAGTGGAGTTTCTGTATTATTGGTTACACAGAGCACTGCATCACCATTTTCTATATTCTAGATACCATTCTCACCACCATTCTTCCATTGTCACAGAACCTATAACTTGTGAGTCACAATTTCTTCTTTTGCATGCTTTGCTCATCAACGTCTCTCTCACTTCTCACTCACATTAATTTCACTCAACATATTTTAATTATACATCTAAGTTTCACATCGACTAGAGATAAGATTAATTTATAGTATATAAACGACTGAAAATCTCACCTTATATATCAATTTTGTGAAATTGTCTTAAGTGTAAAATCCATAACTATCAGACCATCCATTAATATTAGTCTCACGTTTTCTTAATCCAAATATATTAATATTTATCTTAATATATCACTCAATTTTGACATATCAATTATTTCAATATTCAAAAACTAATTTATTACTTATTATCATATGAAATATTTTAACCTTTTTTTTCTTTTATCGAAAATATATAATAAAATTAAAGAATGAAATATTAAGAATGTCGTGTACACATAAAATAAAATGTCAAAAAATAAATATACAGAGAAATTTGATAATCTAGATTTCCATTTCCTAAGATTTGAATGTCACATGTGAAAAAAAAATTATTTTTATTTTCCTATATCTCCTATACACCCTAAAATGGAGTCTATATTGATCTTCATTCCTGTTATATATTTTGCTTTTATTAGTTAAAATTTTGACCAAGGCATCACCTTACAAAATTTGTAAGTATTATCAATTAGGGTTAAATTAAACTTTATTGGTATATAACTTTTATTCCATAGAAATTAAATAATTTACATTATGTATTCATCTTTATGTAACTTTTTTCTTTTTGCAGCTGTGATTCATCCATTTGCTGAACACGTATCATATTTCGTTCTGTTTGCAATTCCAATGTTAACCTCAGTCTTCACTAACACAGCGTCTATGATCACCATATTTGGATACGTGACTTACATTGATTTTATGAATAATATGGGTCATTGCAACTTTGAGATTGTTCCAAAGTGGCTCTTTAGTATCTTCCCTCCTCTCAAGTACTTCATGTACACCCCATCGTAAGTATTTATTACTTTTAATCCAAACCATTTTTATCATTGCTATATCTATATATCATTCATTATATTTCTTCTCAGATAATGAAATCAGATTATTTTTGTTTATCAACAAAAAAAAAAATTGAATATAGTGAGTACTTGAATTGTTCTAAACCCACTTACACATAAAAATTATATAAAATTTTCCAAAAGGAAGAAAAATAAAGACACAAGCTCATCACTCTAGTACTACTATTTAAAAATATATGATATTTATAAAATAAGGTTTACATCGTATATACATATTTTAAAATAATGTTATTTTTAATCTATATGAAATTTTTAACACATTTTATATTAGATTATACTTCATCTTTGTGTCATATCTTATAATTTACTGTTGCAAAAATATCAAAGTGATAATTTCCTTAAAAAATACAAAGTTGTCTATGTTGAAACAGTGACAATTTTAAAGCTATTGGGGATGTTTAGACGACGGTAAGTTAAAATTGTCGTCACGACAGACAACCTAATAAATTATAGTTTTTTAACCGTTAATGAAATCTTCATGTAACTATTGTCTGCAACCTCTGTTACAATAGTGATTTCACCATTAACTTCATAATTTATTTATATTACTTGTACTAATCTATCACAATTGTGAAAGAAAAAATAGAAACAAGATGTAATGAATAAGAAAATTTAAATACAATTGAAATTCCGTACTTAAAATTTCTAGGTAACTGAATGTACTTATTTTGTATATATCTCACAGGTTTCACTCCTTGCACCATACTCAATTTAGGACAAATTACTCTCTCTTTATGCCATTTTATGACTACATCTATGGCACCATAGACAAAAATTCTGATCAATTACATGATTCAGCATTGAAACGAGAAGAAGAAACCCCAGATGTTGTGCACTTAACACACCTCACAACACCTAAATCTATCTATCATCTAAGACTTGGATTTTCTTCCTTAGCCTCCAAACCCTACCAACCCAAATGGTACCTTTTCTTCATGTGGCCTCTCACAGCTTTCTCGATGATCCTAACATGGATATGTGGTCGTACATTCATTGTGGAGGAAAATCGTTTGGACAAACTCAAGTTGCAAACTTGGGCAATACCCAAGTACAATTTTCAGGTAAATACGTTACAATTTTTCTGGCAAAATTTACTACTTTTGAAGTATGAGTCGCTCTTAAAAGAAATAATGATATCACTATCAATGTAAAATCTTAGATTCAATATTTGTAGTTATTTTTTTTATTTATAGCAGTCATTTTTTTTTTCATTTTAATAAATGTGAAACTTTTAATTCTTACTTGGATTCCTAATAATATGTTGGGATTTATATGCGTTACGAGATATATGTTGGGAATTGAAGTGTGAGTCCAAGTCCCACATTGGATAAAAATAAGAAAGTAGAGCATTATATAAAACCGATCTTACCTGAGATCGAAAATTCCAAGTTTGTCTATGAAGAACCGAACTAATTATATTAGTGTCTATGATGGATTTTTTTTGTATAATACACTAACCGATAGGGCCTCATTGTTAAGTGCTACAAGATCTCGTACATTTGAACCCATCGTTGTGGACCCGAATCCATTAGTATGGGACATTTTCTTTTCCAAGTGAAATCCCCTAG